AATTTGCTATGAAGGATTTAGGTACAGCCAAGCAAATTCTTAGGATGTGAATCAGTCAGAATATGGCTGAAGGGACGTTGAAGTTGAGTCAGACCGAATACATTGAGAAGCTACTTCAGAGATTCAACATGTAGAATACAAAGGCTGTTAGCACGCCCCTTGGATGTCAGTTCAGGTTATCTGAAGAGCAATCGCCCAAGACATATGCGAAGAAGGAGTTCATGACCAGAGTGTCATACTCATCAGTCATTGGTAGTCTTATGTATGCGATGATTTGCATGAGGCCGGATATCGCTCATGCAGTAGGAGTTATGAACATGTTTCCAGCAATCTAGGGAAGCAGCATTGAGAGGCCGTAAAGTGGATACCGAGACACTTGAGAGGGACTACAGATATGCCACTATGTTTTAGGAGAAAAGAATTGGTACTGTAGGGATATGTGGATGCAGACTTTGCCGGTGATCATGATACAAGGCGAAGTACCACATGATATGTTTTTACCTTAGGGTTGACAACAGTGAGCTGGGTCTCACGTTTGTAGAAGATAGTGATGTTGTCCACGACTGAGGCAGAGTATGTCGCAGTGACTGAGGTTAGCAAGGAGATGATTTGGTTGATTGAATGTCTGAAAGAGTTAGGTCTGAAGCGGGGGAATGAAGTTCTTTATTTTGATAGTCAGAGTGCTATACATCTTGTTAAGAAACCAGTTTATCATGCCAGAATGAAGCACATCGACATGCGATATCACTTCATACTCTCGTTGATAGAGGACATGAAGTTACTGTTAGAGAAAATTTTGGGGAGCCAAAATCCTACAGATATGTTGACAAAGGCAGTGACCATTGAGAAACTGAAGTTGTACGTAATTTCAGTTGGTCTTTATACATAGGAAATAAGGGTGGAGCCATACTAGGAGGACATGTGAGATCACCAAGGATGATATTGATTGAAGAAAGAAATTTTTTCGGGTAGGAGAAGTTGCTTGCGAAGATGGTTGAAGTTCAAGAGAGCTTGTTGATGGAGGTTTGGAGAGTGTTGGTTTTGGGTGTGTAGACCAAAACATGGGAACAAAATCAACAAATAGCAGACCCCCTCCCCCCCGATCAATCAACCGAAGGGCTTGGATTAGTCGACCGAAGGGCTTGGATCAGTCGACCGATTCGATTGTAAGAAAATCAACCTGAAAATTGCTCTGGTAAGTTGACTGATGGGGGTGCCATCAGTCGACCAACACTATGCATGAGGCAGACTGATTCTAGATGATCAGTCGACCGATGAGGCATCATCGGTCGACCGATAGCGGGTCAAACCTGTTTCCTAATTCGTTTGGGAGTTAGGGTTTTATATATATTAAGGTCGTTTTGGCTATTGTTGAGTATGTTTTTGAGCGATACTCTTGAACACTTTGAGAGAGATCTGAGAGAGAGAGAGAGAGAGAGTAACCTTTTACAATCTTGTAATCTTCTGCAATAATCAAAGAAATTTTGGTGTGGCTCCTGAGGACATAGGCAAGTTTGTCGAACCTCGTTAATCTTGTGTTCTCTCCTTTTATTTGTTCTTTCCTGCAAAGTTTTTCATTTTGATGTAATTTCTTGATTGCTAATTGTTAGTCACAAGATCTGGAGGGCACAGGTTGTTGATAGATTAACCCTAACAAGAAGGGCGAGGGAGTTTCAATACAAATAATAACGTTCAGATATTGACTTGCACATCAGAGGAGAGATATGGGAAAATAAACCCAAATGCTCATTTTTTTTATAGTTTATGATGTGCATGTTTGTTGTTAATTGTTATTATTATTATCGTCATCATCATTTTTTCTAGTTTATGATTTGCCTAAATTTTTATGAATTATTATAATACAAGTCTGTAAAAAAATATAATTTTGTAGTTTCCTTTCTTTTTCTATCCCCAATCTCTTTCTCTCGTATCTTAATTTTAATTATTTTTTAAAAAATTATTGATCTAACATAATTATATAAATACAATATTCGCTAAAAAAGAAAATATCATATAAAAAGGGTAGCAAATTGAGATGTGGTCTGATAGCGTAGTCAAATGTGTTGGGGATTCTAGTCCCCGCTTACTACAATCTGCATAACTCGGAAGCCAATCAACAATTCATAAGATAAAAATAACCACAATCAAGAAGAAGAGCATCAAAATTTACGTGGTTTGGTCGACCAACTTCGACTTACATCCATGGGCAACAATACAAGACATTCACTATGTATTAGGGAGAATTATAAGAGGAACCACTCAACTCTTGTCTTCAATCTCTCAATCTGAAATACATAATTAATCTTCATATTTTCTCCAAAGTCAACTCCTTACAATTTTTTGGACGGACAAAGACTGTGAAATGCTCTCTCAATATTGTAATTTTTTGCGCGATCAAAAGACTACGAAACCCTCTGCTCTCGTATATTATCTTGAATCTGGCTATGCCCTCTGCTAACCCTAGATTACAAGAATAACAGCTTTCTCCTTTTTCTTCTCCTTCTTGGTTTTTACTCCAACATTAGAAGATTATTCATAGGGAAATCAAAAACTCTATCTCTAGCCTAATTTCCTATTTATAATAGGAATCAAACTCATTATATAATGAGCACCAATCTCCTAATCGTGATATACTTCTAACCTTATATAATTCTCATGAAGTTATATAAAAAAAAATCAAAAACACAATCCCAACAAGATGATGACAATGACCATCGGAGGAAGCGATGATGGAGAAAAGAAAAGAAATATGAAAATAAGAAATAAATAGGAGAGTTCTATGTTTTTAAACCAAGTAGTTCTAGCCTAAAACATGGGATAATTTGAGACACTAAAAATTTCATTGTTATAAGGAAAATTAAAAAAAGTGGGATACTTTTTTTTTACTATTAATCTAGTTTTAATATTATATTAGTTCTAAATGACTAACACTATAAAAACTTATCATAATTCTGATTTTATTTGACTAACACTAGAAGATTTTATCCGACCAATTATCCTAGTTTTAGATTTGAGTTTTACATGACTAACCCCGCTTCTTAGATCGTTAAAACTCCTTGAACATATCCATTCTACTTTTGATGGATGATAGCCTCTCAAAGGAAAGTGACGCTTTTCCCCTTTATTATTATACTTAATCATAACCCTTGCCCAAAGTTACGCACAAAGTTTCCTCATCCAATGAGATGTTAATTAACTTTGTCACACGCTATCAACTCGTTCAACTGGTGTTCATCTTATCCATTTTCACCACCGACATCTTTTATCCAATCTATTAACCTCTCCTTTCTATTTCTTTTTTTAAAAAAAAAAAATCTTCTACCATCTCCCTTCTCCACATAAATTCCATCAGAAAAACCAAAAGAAAAATTTTTTAAGGACCCAAAATATGGGACCAATAGGGGGGACAAGTGAGGTGCCCCCTACTATTAGATAATGAGTTGGTCATCATTAATGATGACCAACTCATTATCCAATAAGATGGGGACACCTCACTTGTCCTATTTATTCCTCCCATATTTTGGGTCCCTGTAGCAAAGCTCAAACCAAAAACTAATAACGAAAGAATATAAACCGCAATTATTTTCTCTAGATTTTATGCTCCAACGTCCAACTTCCAGCGCTATGCCGACTCACTCCAAGGCCAAAAATAATTTTAAAAGAATAAAAATCCATTAGGTAAACACCCACTTATTTTATTCCCTTCTAGAATATGGGCCCACCACTGGGTGCAACTGCAACCAACGAAAATCCTACGAAGAAAAGTATTCTTTTGGTCTCGTTCATTATATCAGATACCCATGGTAGGGTTGGAAATAAATCGAAAAGAATAATCACAATTATATTTGCTTAAAATTTCCGAATTTGAATACATTTTTCATGAATTTATTAGAAATTGAATTTAAACTCAAGAACGTTTTGAATATCGAAGAACATCCGTCAAATATCAAAGTATGCATATTTAATTAATACTTCATAGTTTGTGGATTTAGTTAAGGATGTATTTATTTAGTTAAACAGATCTTTTTTTTATTTTAAAGAACTTGATCTTTTAAATAACATTAAGATTTGTAATTGATAATTATTTTATTTGATTATTTGTTAAAAAAAATGATTCGAGACCCTTCAAATCTCTTACAATAGTATCAAACTTACACTAAAAAATAAGTGGGTCAAAAATATGTTCTTTGTAATAATACAAGTTATAACTAATCACATTTTAAATGAATATTTCATAAGCAAGTGAATATACCTTTAGTTGAATTTTATTCTTTTATATACTAAAAAGTATTTATTTAATGTTAAATAAATTAAAGAACAATAAAACCTAATAACTTGATTAACAATTAACAGATTGTTAATTATTTGGTTCATTTTCACATCTAGCTTGTGGTAGTTCCCAAAGGAATATCATACATTGGATTATAAGAACTAGAATCTTGTACACTAATTTAAGGATTGCATTGGGCGGAAACACGGTTCACCATGCAAATCATGATTATATAGCACTCATGAAAAATAAAAAATAAAAAAAACCACACATTATCAATTAATAAGGAAAAACGATAGGGGCACACCCCCAACTACAACTCCAACCACACACACCATCTCTTTTGCTACAGTGCACGGGGCCCCATATGAGATTTTAAAATCCTATTTAGGACGCGGTACACTATAGCAAAAGAGAAAAATGGTATGATTGGAGTTGTGATTGGGGGTGTGCCCCTAGTGCCACTCATCTATAAGTCATTCTAAACAGTAAAATGTTGTTACAAATAGTAATACAACCAAATCAATACAAAAATAGTCACAATTTTTTAAGGCTCTGTTTGGGAACTTGGATTTGGGTCCTAGATTTGAAATTCAGTGTATTTCAAATCCAAATCTCTAGTTTGGGCCTCAAATTAAGCTGAGATTTCAAATCCAATTATTTTGGAGAGGAGAATTTAAGAACCCAAATACAGGTATTTCAAATCCCATCCTGCCCCTTAGTATTTACCAAATCCCAACTCCTCACTCTCTCTCTCTCTCTCTCTCTCTCTCTCTCTCATTTCTCAATTCCGCTCCCCGATCCCGACTCCTCCCCTCTCATTTCTCAGTCCCGATCCCAATCTCTATCTCAAGTTCTCTCTCAACGCAGGTAACCTCTATCTCTCCTCTCTCTCTCCCCTTCTCCTCTTTCGTCGAAACCCTAGATCTGATCTAGGGTTTAGTTCTCCCCTTTCTCCTCTCTCTCCCCTCACCTCCCCTAATTCTGATAACTATTTCAATGATCAATCGATAACCCTAACCCTAACCCTAATCGCGCTTTTACTATTCAATGCTGAAGTTTTACGTGTTTAGGTCTTGGTTAGATTTATTTGCTATTCAGTAGAAAGTTGGGTAACTAAGAAATATTTGTTCAAGTTCAATTATCTCTGTTAATCCCTTAACGCCCTCAGGGTTATGATACTACGCGCTCTCTGATGTTCTGTTTGAAACTAGATTTTGCATTAATTATTTTGCACCGCGAAAGTTTTGGTATTTAAAGACTGAATCTTGATAATGTCGACCCTATGAATATAGAGATTTACTCACTTTGCTAAAAATATGATCTGAATCATATTGGAATGAGTACATGCTTCTGATCTGGAAATTGTAGTTAATGCGGTGATGAAATGCCTGCTTGTGATCTTATTTTTTAAAGCTTTATGCGATTTGATATTAGGTCTTGTTCAAGCAAATAGCGCTTGAGATCAGAAAAAGCCTCAATAACAAACAAATCCTTCATTGATAGCCTAAACAGTAGTCAGCATTAGCTATATTATTTTGAACACTAATCACATTGTTTGTATTTTGGTCAAGTAAATTGCATGCTTCGAACAGGGTAAAGCTGAAGTCATGCATGTGTGCATGGTTCAATTATAGAACAAGTTTACAGGGTTAAGCGGAATAAACAAAATTCTAGGGGTTATGTGAGAAACCGACGAACATTAAGGGTGTTAGGAAAAATCTAATAGCTTATTTGCAAATAGGATGCATGAATGGATTCTGAAGGAAATGGGACCGACTCCAGGAAGTAGGAGACCATGAATTGTATCTGAATCTTATGGCTTTTGGTGACTCCTAATAGTTTATTACTCTCACCTAATACTTTTTTACACTTACAAAATAAAACTAAAGAAAATGTTTAGCTTGTACAATACGCGCACAAGTCCACACATAACAGCAGACACTTAGCGGCAACGACAGTGCATACGTGCGCATTTTCACGTATTCAGGAGTTCAGATATTATTTCTAAGTTTCTACATGCCATATGTTTTTATGACTTCATGACTTTCAGAAAGAAGAGGGCTTAGCTCCTCAACTCATGTAGAATAGATAGACATCTAAAATTACCATTTTGGTGAAAGTTGATCTATTTTGTCGTGTGTTGAACTTGATAGGAAAATAATGAAAACTACGTGTAAGTTTGACTGAGAAATATGTATTGTTGGCTATATATATTTAAGTTGAAGGAGAATATTAACTTTCAAGTTGAAGTTTTTTTGGGTCAGAAGTTTTGATATTTTTGTAGAGAGAAGCATTGTTATTGTTGACTTGTGCATAATTAGCTGATATGTCTGAAAACATTATCCATGTGGTTTTGTTGAATAAATTTAGAATGATGGTAAGAGCAACATATTTATGCACACTTTTAAATTTACCCGTATGATAGATACTTAATGTGTATATTTCATGGATAGCCCCTTCTTTGTTTGCAAGGTCCTTTTAGTTTTATAAGGTAGATGTGATTCTGGTGAATGTATGAGTGTGGTTATGTAGAGTTTGATTTCAAAGATGGTGGTGCTCCTAGAAGCTTATGTGGTTTGTAAGTGTTTGAATCTGGTGAATTAAGTTGGATTATTTCGCAGGTTATCTATGACAAACTAACTGGAACGAGCCGAGGTTTTGAATTTGTGACAATGTCTACTGTTGAGGAGGTTGAGGCAGCTTGCCAGCAGTTTAATGGTTATGTAAGTATGTCGATGGAAATAGAACTGTTGTTATGTTTTCAATGTTTTTTTATGATAAATATACAGAATTCACTATGGTTTTATGTTCTACATGTAATTACAGTAGTAACTACTAAGTAGCTGTTTCCTTGTTCATAGTAAAGTTAAATATATTTTCCATGAAGTATCTAGGTTATGCATATTTCAACCTTTCTGTTTAACTGAAATATTATTGGTTGCTATGTAGATTCTATTAGTTTAGTTATATGAAAGGATAAAATAAAGTCTATAGTACAGTGATTTTTCCTCTCCAAGAATCATGTTTACATCTGATGCTATAGTTAATATCTATGATCCAATTATATGTGTAGGTCACATGCTCTTTCGCCATTCATTTGCATCTAATGTTGTTTTGCATCAACTTAACCTTGAAAAGCCACTGGAGAGCAAAGGACCAAACCAATATATGTTTTAGTAGCTTGTTTTTGACACTATTATTAGTTTGTCATGCATGAAGATCCTAAGAACTAGACAGTTGTTTCTAAGTAATCCTTCATGCATGATGTGCTAATTCTTTATTACTCATTCTGTGTCATTCACTTTGGTATGTATTAGGATGACAAAGAATGGGAAACAAATTGCATCTCACTTGAGATCACATGTTGTTTGGAATCGTGATATGGATTCAGCTTTAGCTAATCGTGATATGCACACTTATAGTTGTGATTTGCCTTTGTAGTAGATATTATTTCTGTTTTAGAGCGTATTTTATTTCATGAACTAATTGATGCCAAATTTTTTTAATGTAGGATCCAATAAGTTCTCCGAGACATGAGTTGGAAGCATAGGAGAAAAAGAAGGAGAATACTTTGAAGGATAAATAGACAATTTTTGCTATGGTTTCTTTTAGTAGTTTATGTTGTGCTAATTTAGCTTGTTGTAGAAAATCATGGTTATCTACTACCTATAGTACGTTGTGTTTTAAATGAAGACTTATTGCATAGCCTAGAGCTTCTTATGTGGATTGTTCGCTATACTATTTTGTGTCGTCAAGTCTTTTATCATGGCTAATTTTTAAAGTAGTACTCTTGTTATTTTGGAGATTGAAGGTCAATGTGGTAGTGGATAAAACCATGAAAAATGCTATTATAATGAATATTTTGGACATTATTATTATTGTTTGTATTCTCTCGTATCGATTCACGAAGGATGAGATGATTGCATGAGTATTTATAATTGCTATCGAGGTGATCAATTTGGTTTTGAATCACTTCTCAAAGTTTTATTTGTGCATGACAGGTCTTTCTTCCTTTTAAAAAGGCTTGGGCTAAGTAGCATGGTACTCATATATGTTAACTATATGTATATGTCATAAATTGTTCACAAAAATAATCCTCCTTATCTCTGAAATCCAAGTTCATGTATAATAAAGTGTATCCAAACATTATATTTTAAATCTTTAATTTCAAATCCTTGTATTTTGTAAAGGCATCCAAACAAAAGATTCTATCAAATCATGGATTTCAAATCCTAGAATTAAAATCCTTTGATTTTAAATCAACATTCCAAATCCAAATCTTAGTTCCCAAACGCAGCCTAAATGGAATCTTCCATAGGTATTTTCCATTTCATTACTTACAAGTGGACCCCACTCACCCCACTCTATAAAAAAACCACCTCCCCCCTAAAATTTTACTCCGCTCCCCCATCGTTCACCCAATCTCTTTAATGATCACCTCGCTCAAATCTCTCCAATTCCTCGGCGCCCCAACCGCCGACCTCCAAACGCCCCAATCGCGTCGCTCGCACAGCGCATCTCCGCCGTACAAACGATCCCCGCTCGCATCTGACGTGCGGATCGCTCTACTACACGCCAGTCGTCCGACGACCGCCACGGGCCAGGAGATCAAGGCCGCGTACAGGCGCCTGGCGCGCACGTGCCACCCCGACGCCGGCGCGTCCGCGGACGAATTTATAAAGATACACACGGCGTATTCTACCTTATCGGATCCGGGTAAGCGGGAGGACTACAATCGCACGGTTTTGGGCCCGGACCGGCCCGTTTCTCCGTTCTCCCGGCGGCGGACTTGGGAAACCGATCAGTGTTGGTAAGAGGAGGCATTCTCTCAGAAATATTATGCATGTGAGCGGAATGTTCTGATCTATACAAGGCAGTGAAAATTTAAGACGGTTCCAATTGAATGAGTATAACTCACCCCTACGCAAGCAAGTAACTTTTGGGTTTGGTTCGGGTTTGGTTTCGATTCGACTGGTTCGATGAATTGGATGATTGCGAACAAACTGTTCTAATCCATCTTATCTGCAAAATCTCTAAACTGCCTTCTTCAGATTTGGCTTAGAATATTCAGATTCTATACAAATTTGTAATTGGGTTTTGGTTTTAGTTTGACTAGTCCAATTTAGGTTCGGGTTGTTGATAGTTGAAGAAGTCATGATTTTGTAATTAGTACATGCGTATATGATACATATAATTGATGAAAACATGATGATAATGTTAGACGTTTCCTTTGTCTTCAATTGATTTGGTGGAGATTTGTTTTGATGGTAACTTTTTGCTCTGAAGTTTGGTTTGAATTAAGTTGCAAGTGAAAGGGTTCTTTAAACGTGTACATGAGATGCACGCAACTTATGACTTAATTTTATTTTGATCTCTCCACCGCCTAGCTATGTTTGTTTCCATGAATTTTCTTTTGAAAATTCTTCTTTCCATAAAAAGGAATTTCTCGGTAGAGGTGGAGAGAGAGATGATAAAGAAGTATTCAAGGGTTACCGAGAGATATAGAGAACTATAAAGCTAAAAGAATAAAATCGAAATGAATGGATAAAACATATGATTTATTATGAAGAGATTATATGAATAAAGAGAAATACGTACACACAAATAAGTGGCAGAGATCACGATAAATAAAAAGGATAACAAAATTAGTATAGTGTGGTCTAATAATAAACTCTTTTTTTTTTCAAATTAGTTAACATTTTACCTAAAAGTGAAAGTTTCCTTTACTTTAGTCATTTATCTATTTCAATATATTTGTTGAGTATTGAACCAATAGGGACAATATGAGCATGCATCATTAGAAGGAAGAGGGGGAAAAGTTTTAAAATGATTTTTCCCCTCACATCTAATCCATCCCTAGGATGTGGTTGATATTAAATAGGTTCACATCATAAGCCAGGATGCTTCGAACAGGCTAACTAGAGATGTATTTATGAATTCCCAATCTCCAAACAAGCAGAAAGAGACTGGAATCAGTAACGCTTAATTGCAATTAAATGCCCTATTGTTTTTCCTGCTTTGCAGTTATATGCTCTCACTTGTTTTTAGCATCATTTATATATCCTAAAGTTTTAAAACTGTATTTATATACAACATTTGTTTTGGCAGCTCTTACATACAAAAACTTGCACTTAAATACCCTCAGTTATGCAAACTTGAGGGTATTTGTCACGCCCTGGGTCCACGGGCCCGTCAGTGCGTGCAAACCGTGAGACCCACTAAGAGCAAATCGATGTTGGCTTAAATCCACCGCCAAATGCTACCACTAGTTGTTCTTAGGTCTTGGGCTTCTTTATTTAAGGCACTAACATTTCTACACACTAATCCATGTGAGATTAAAGTGGGGGTGTCACAATAGGCCCAGGGCGTGACAAATGGTATTAGAGCAGTTGCCAGTCGGAAGTGTAGAACTAAGTGCTATACGGAGCTAAGTGTTACACAGTGTGGGTGCGGTGTGAGCCACCTCTAGAGCCCGTAGGAGTCACCTCTAGAGTCCACATCGCCTGTGATACTGGGTTGTGCCAATTGTCATGTCATGACGACGAGGACGTCGTCTTTGTAAGGTGGGGCGATTGTGACACCCCCACTTTAGTCCCATATGGACTAGTGCGTATAAATGTTAATATCTTAAATAGAGAAGGCCAAGACCCAAGAACAACTAGTGCTAGCATTTGATGGTGGATTTAAGCCAACATCGACTTGCTCTTGGTGGGTGTCACAGCTTGCACGCGCTAACGGACATGTGGGCCGGGGCATGACAATATTTAAATACAAGATTTAAAAACTTTAGGATATTTGAGTGCAAGTTTTCAAAAATTTGAATTATACCAGTGTTCTTATATATAGACAAGTGAGGATATATAATTAAGTGAAGCTTTTAAAAACTTTAGCACATACGAGCAAAATTGACCCACACGTTGATGTGGCATTGGGATGAAAAAAGCTAAATTAATATGATTTGAGCGTTTGATTTAAAAATAACATGTATCTAATCATTTAGAACAACAAATCTCAAATTTATAAGCAAAGATAACAACTTATAGCAGACATGAAAATTTGTTGAAATACAAAGTCAATTTAAAAATAATTCGATTAAGTACTTTGAGTCTAAGAATAATTTTGAAAGTGGGTAGGTTTAAGAATAAATGGCGGTGAAGCTTTTATAGGAAAAAAATCTCATTTTTGGAAAGTGAGTTAGTTTAAAAATTAATTGTTTGGGGGGGGTGGGGGTGGGGGTGGTATGACTTTAGGTTGTAGGAAAAAACTCATATACAGTTCACAATGCCACAACATTAATGGTTTACGTATTTGGTTTAAAAATACAATGTGTGCATAACCTTTTAATTAAAAATACAACAAGTTAAAGCAAAATATCGCAACTTACTCCATATATCAAACTGGTGACTATCAACTTGAATGTAGAATTAATGATTTTTAGTGTTCTGGATTTAAGAGTGATTTTGAAAGTGGATGGCTTTAATAATAACTAAGGATAAAACTTTGGGCACCTGTAAAAACCTGCTTTTGGAAATGGATGGGTTTGAAATATATAGGGTAAAATTTGGGTTTATAGCACATCTACATTTCACAATTCCAAGAGATTAGTGTGGAAAAAGAAAATTTATATGATATATCAAATTGTTGAATACAAAGTGGACATAGAAAAAAATAGTAGAGTATTATTGGTCTAGAAATGAATTTGAAAGTGGATAAATTTAAAAATAAATAAGGGTAAAACTTTGATTTATAGACGAAAGAACTTTTTTTCTTAATAGACTGAGTGGGTACAAGAACAAATGGAGCAAAACTTTGACTGAAATACTCTTGGCTAGATGTTGATTGAAAAGTGAGCGGGTTTAAAAATAAATGAGAGTAAAACTTTGGTTTTAGAGGCAACAGAGGTGGGTATCAAAATAAATACAATACATTGCAGATTCCACATTCTGACCCCCCTCTTCCAAGTTTACGTCGATGATACCTACCACATCACCATCGAAGACCAGAACTAATCATCTCCATTATTCCCCTCGCTGATGGGGACTTTGGATTTGGGATCTTTGGGTTTTATGGGGGCTGAGAAAAGTTTGATTAAAGCGACTGAAAAGAGTATGGAGAGCGGTAGTGGAAGGAGAGAGGAGGCAGCAACAGAAATTGGACATGGATCCACATTTTTGAGAGAGGGATTGAGAGTTGTGACTTAGTTTAGAGTTCAACGTTTTTAATTTGAGGATTTATTGAGAGTTAAAAGGACTTCCACTGTATAAATGAATGTTGTGTCAAAAACTGTGTCGAGGAACCAAACCAAACGCCAATCCAAAAGAGCCAAACGAACTAAATATCAATGCACAAACAAAACACCAATTTTAACATGGTTCGACAAGTTGCATACGTCCACGGGGCAAGAAGGGGATGAAGTTTTCACTAATAGAGAAGAAGAGTACAAATTGAGATTACAAATCACTCGAAGGAACAAACTAATCTCACAAACAAAACTCTTAATCTCTCCAAACAAAACCCTAACCAAAAGCTCTAAAAATACCTCCTTTTGTGCTCCAAATACCCCCCAATCAATGCTTAAACAAAGCTCGATCAAAGCCTAAACAAAGCCAAAGAAATCCTAAAAAACGTGTCTCTATTTATAACAAAACACAATCCCAAACTGATTGAGATTCTAAAAACGAGTTTGTCACACCCTAGTGTGGCAGACACCACACCCATGATAAACATGACAGATTTTACCACACTAGGGTGTGGCAGACACCACACCCATGGCAGACAGGGCAGATTCTGCTACACCCATGACGGACACCACACCAGGGTGTGGTGGAGCCTGTTTTGCTTATTCTTCACATTTTTCTCAATTCCTTCCTTAATTCCT